ATTTTCCCCATGAACACTTCTATGAGCTAATAACAAGCTGCTAGTACCAAAATGTACAGCACCCTGAGAACCAAAACTGCAATATAAAATACACTGAGTTTAATATCAAAACAAATAACATTGGGACTATTGTATTACAACTGGGTTATGTAATTTCATACTTAATCTATAAATGTCTTCCAGATTTGTTTGAAGGTACTGCAGAATTTCCACATTAGAGCTGCAGAACCCAGGGAATTGAGTGTAAAATTAGGTCCAACTTACTGCAGAGTACATAGGGCCTTGGCTATAGTAATAAACATACAGAAGTGCAGATATTTTGGCAGGATAAGACACTGCATGACACAGCCATGTTATTTTCAAGGGAGGCCTAAAGAGAGGATTCTCCATTTTTGCCAAACAGGGAAAATAAAAGGACGCTGGAAGCTTATTAAAAGATACTGCGATCAAGGAAGCTTCAGTGCAGAATGAATTACTTGACACTGGGCGTTTGACAATTATTGCATGAACTGCTGGAGGCACATTTTGGTTTTTGTCGTAATTTAGTGCAGTGGGTTTTGATCTTTGCTCCTTTGCAGACCCCTAAACAAATTCCACTTGAGGTGCAGACCCCTTTGGAAGTCTTAGAGTGTGTCTAGACTACATGGCTCCGTCGACAGAGCCGACCCAAGAACCCTTCATCGTCAGATCCTTTATGCCTGGTGAAACGAGGCTTACAGGATCTGACGACAAAGGGTTCTGGGGTCACCTGATCCCCGTCTAGTCTACCGCGCTGTGCCAACAATCAGCTGATCGGCACAGCGTGGCGGCCATTTTGATGTCAATGAAGCGGCGATTATTTAAATCACCGCTTCATTTTGCTATGTCTAGTAAACTTATCTACGTGGCTCTGTCGATGGAGCCATGTAGTCTAGACACACCCTTAGACATAGGGGTCTGCGGATGACAGGCTGAAACGAACGATTTAGTGATTCCGCCCATATAGTACATATGCACAGGCAATGACAGGTGTGCGTGTGTGCGCTCTCTCTCTCTCTCTCTCTCTCTCACACGCACACACACACACACACACACACACACACACACACACAGTGTTAAGGAAGGGCTGTTGATGGTATCCTTCAATGGCACTAGAACCAGGAACTATGTTAGTGGATAGCTGTGTGGTAGCCAGGACTCCTGACTCAGCTGTATCTGTGGGTATGTAGACTCTAAAATGGCTTAGATTCAGAATCAACGGGCCAGATTCTTAGCTGGTATAAATGGCATAGCTCCACTGAAGTCCATGCAGTTCTGCTAATTTGCACCATGTGGGGCTATGAGCCTGTAAGTCTGCACTGCTTTTCACCTTCAGCGCTGTAGCTGGATGCATTGTGCAAATGTGCCTTTCTTCCTGCATTTAAAAGACATTAACTAACTAAAAAGACATTACAAAAGGAAGCTGAGAGGAAGGGGAACCGTTCTGCGACATGTCTTCGTGAATTTACTTGCCATGCCGAGAGAGCACGTTGGGATTAAAGACTCAGTGTTAGATGTCATCTTCACCCTCCATTAGCAATGTCATTTGCAAAGGTGCCCATGCATTCCTAGAGATTTCTAATTTTCTTTTACGTATTCCTTTCAAACCTATGTGGGTTTCCCTTGGGTTTTCCAACAGACAGGATGGGGAGGGGGAATAGGGGAGAATACACTGAGCATGCCCCAAATGCCAACATAACCTCTCGGTCGGATTTTGAAGGTTTAACTGATCAGTCCCCTTTTCACACTCATCAAGCGCTTTAAATACATTTCACTGGCTTCTGGCATCAATTCGCAGTATCTCTTGTTCCTTCGGATGATCAAGGTCTAAATGACATTCCAGACTACTTTAAGTGGCTCCTATAGATATATTATAGGAGGTGTCTGCTTAAAGAGCGGTCGGTCAGAAGCCTGATCCAAATCTGTTGGTTTCAGGGAGCTTTGGATCAAGCCCTAGAACAGTAAGTCGAATGGAACATCTGCTTGGAGCAATCGTGGTCAACTTACAATAGTTTATTTTGATGTTTGGTAGGTACAATTAGAAAAGGTTTATAAAAGCAGCTAAAGAATTTGACAGCGCCAATCCTACCGACTTCCATTGGGACTTGCTCCTAAATGCCTTGCATTAACCGTGTCATTTAGAGACATTACTGAATGTAACAGCTCAAGTGTATTTTTACCACAATTTCAAATTCAATCCTTTCGTTTTTTGGATTTCCAAGCCCTTACTGATGTCGATCTTGCTCTCAAATACTTCCAAACCAGTCTGATGTTTTTCCTTCTAGTCTCCAAAGTCCACACCTGATACTGAGTGAGATCTGTATCGGCCGTATTTAATCTTAGGCCAGGTCTACACTACAGAGGAAGGTTGAATTAAGATACGCAACTCCAGCTACATTAATTATGTAGCTGGAGTCGACGTCCCTCAATTCAAGTTTCTGCGTGGTCTTTACAGCAGAAGCTCGACAGGAGCAAACACTCCCATCGGTTTCCCATACTCCTCATGGGGAGCACCGGCCTGACACGGGTGCCCTCTGAGTTCGATTTAGTGGGTCTTTTCTAGACCTGCTAAATCGACTCCAGAAGATCGACCGCAGCAGTGTCGACTTTCTGCTTAGTGAAAACAAGCCTGCAGTGTGCTGATTCCTGTTTGTCACTGACATTCGAATTTAGAGAAACACAGATTCTGACTTTGCACCATGAAATCGCCATGCTTACATACATGCAAGCCTATGGCAGGTTCCAATCGGACCCTGTCACCCACAATTGTCCAGTGGTGGAAGTGGGGTGACAGGGTCAGTCATTTGTCATGGGGAGGAAGGGTTCAGCTGTGAGAGTCTGCAGCAAAAAGCCGCCTAGGGAAAACCACAGAGATAAAAAGGAAGAGAAAAGTTTACTTGGTTTTGCAGTAGGCCACAACACACATGATGCCAACTACTAGGAGGGCAATGCAGATGCCAGTTATGGTCAAGACCCTTTTCTGGTACAGTTCCTCTGCTTCTAGAAAGGGACAAAAACAGACAAGATTACAAGATGCAGGCTCACACCAGACAGTAAAACAAGCCCACAATTACCGCGCACGTTGGGCAAAATTCTATTGCAGGGTCGGAACATAAGCTCTTAACACAATATCAGTGGCTAATGGGGGCCAATAAAACGAAACAGGTCAAATAAAAAGCAATACTTCTACTATGAACAAGAACAAATCTCCAAAATGAGACTGTTAAAACTGACAAAATGCCAGCAGTTGCTGAAACTCAAAACACAATGAACTTCGGTACTTAAGTGATTTGAAAATGCTTGGGATATTTTGCTCCTGCAAAGACAGCTGGAATAAAGGTTACTTCCCAGTTCCAGAAAGCAAATTCATCATCTTTTCTTTTGTATTAATATTCAGGGTTGTCCCGTCCCTCCCCCACTCCTCCCTCCCAAATCAAACGTATAAATCTCAGCGGTCTTTACAGGAGAAATTTCAGAGTATCCTTTCACATTCCTAACATGAGGTTGGCTTGAAATTGTAGCACCAATGAAAAAGAGACAAATGCTCTGTGGGCGCTCAGCATGCCGAGCAGTTGAACCCCTTGTCCCAAAATATGGCATTAGCAACTATTAGTGACGCACTGTATCAAAGAAACACGGTGTGATTCCTTACCTATCCAGACTGGGATTAAAAGAACAGTCCTAGCTAGAGTGTAGTCTTGCCCTCTCAAGAAAACCTACTCTACTTCACTGATCTCATTTGCAGAGATATTTCCCTGTTCTAAAGAACTCGTTAGCACCAGCCGTGTTTGGGTTGGCTGAGCCTTCAGATACCGTCATCGGTCACAATTGGCAAAGCGCCCTTGTCTAGTGCAGTAGGGAAATGTTATGCTTGGAACTTTGACCTAGAGAGACGTAGGCCCAGATCCTCAAAGGCATTTTCAGTGCTCCACTTTCACAGAGTGGTGCATTGGGGCCTCTCTGAGAGTTGATTCAAGACACGGCATTGGGAATCTGGCCCCCTTCCCTCTCTTGGCGACTGACATAGTCACGGAGATTGGGCTTTTTATTTAAAAAAAAAAAAAAGATACTGCAGGACAAACTAGTCAGAATTCTCCATGGCAGTTGGGAAAAGCGGACATGGCAGGGATGCCAGTCGGAACTTGGCAGGGCTTCATCGGGACACCAAGTGGGAAACTGCCGTAAGAGAGATTTACACGCCAAAAGAAATGCAGCTCCCCGCCATCGTGGGGACCGAGCAGTGGCGGAAAGGACAGGGAGCGGGAGGGGGAGGGGGTGAAATCTGCTGGCCTGAATCCTGAGGGGGCAGTACTAACAGGTGTGCCCTGGCCTGGCAGTCTGCCTCAGACCTCACAGGAGTAATCCAGTGGCACAGACATACATTTACTGTTGACTTGACACTGACCTATGATCTGATCCTCTCATAGGGGTTCCAGTCAGAGAAGTTACATTTTGATTAATCAGCTAATCGAGTAGTCGATGGAATTTCAAACTAGAATTCCGGGCAATGGAATTTCCATCGACTACTCGATTAATCGATATGGGGGGGGGGGACTCGCTATCCTGCTGTGCCTTTGCCGTTGAAATGTACAAGAGCCACTTGCAGCTCCTGTACATTTCAAAGGGAAAGACCCAGCGGGTTTGCTGCCCCTCTCCCTTTGAAATGTACAGGAGCTGCCTGCGGCTCTTGTATATTTCAAAAGGCG